GGGGGTTGCATGAAAAAAGAATACTTCTTTGTAATAAAATGTGAAGTTCAGTTGCATTTATAGGGTAATTTATAGAAGCCTTCACTCTTATCTCTATCCAGACATTTTTTTTGGAACTGAAAATTCTGTTTCGGGTGCATGTTGAGAGATTCACAGGGAGGGGAAAAATGTAGCTTTCTATCAGCCTCATTGCCGTCTCTCTTCCGTGATCTAAAAATAGATTTGCGAACATCTGTCGGGTTCTTTTGTAATATATGCACATGGTTTCAAAAGGTGGTTGTTTTTTCTTCTGGGCTTTAATATTCATATATATTTTTATTTTCTATTATATTCAAGGTTTCTGTCAAAAAGTTGCCATAGATTTCCAATGCTTTACGACATGGGATGGTTGGTGGAGATGACGACTTGTTACCAAATGGGTTTCCATACTTTATTGTAACTATCATGTACACTTTGTTACTTTTTTTTAGTTAGTAATTGATGGCTTGACAAGACAGACTGTTCCCGTTACGCCATCTGGTGTTTAGGGCAGCCACAAAGGATCTACAGCTCTGTCTTGTTTTGGGCCATCTTGGTCAACATCCCCCTCGAGTGGTTCCAGGACTTGAGACACGGCCAATCAGATTTGTTACTGATCAAATCCAGAGCTGATATGGTTGAGCTTTTGGGTCATTGTTTCTCTTTTTGGTTTTTTTGTACAAACAGTCTATGGACAACTGACCCTGATAAAAGCTTTTTGTGTGTTTTTTGTTTTCTTTGTGGGGGTGGATTTTTATATATTTGTTATTTATGTGTATTTTTAACATCATGCAAAACCACGGAAAACTTGAATACTTTGTTTTTCTCAGTGCCGTGCGCAATGTACAGGGAAAGTTTGATGTAGTCACAGGGGGAAAGTTAAAAGATTTTTTAAAGCGAGTTTCAAGTCACAAGAAATCCCCCATTGGTGTACAGATAATGACAAACTTTTGGCATTTCGCTACCTGAGAATTACACAGTTCTTTCTGCACCTTGCCTTATTTTGAGAAACTTGGCGTAAAAAAATTTTGAGCTTCGCAATATGTTAAGCTTTTTCAAATGCTGTTCTTTTGAATATATCTTGATAGCGGCTCAGAATAATCTTGTGATCTTGGCGCTCATATGACCTTTTGCAGTTGCGAGCGCCGTAAAACCCTCTACTTAAAAATTTTTTTAAAAAATAGTCTTGTGATTTTGATAGAGCAGATGGAACAAATGGCTTCTGACCTCTCATGGTCTCAGTTACTAAATAACAGCCAGAAATGTCAGATGGAACTTTGTAATTCTGAGGTAGCTATTTGTTTCAGCCCACGTCATGTCATGAACGCTATTGTGATTCCGACCATCTTATTATATTGATGCACTAATGAGTTTGAGGTGGGGGGGGGGGGGGTGTTGTTCAGGTCTAAGAGTGTCTCCCTTAGCCCAAAGCTGGCCTTGAAATAAGACATAGTCATTGCAGCCTGCCCCCGCCGAAATGATCTGAATTGCATCAATAGGGGCATAAAATGCTTACATTTTTTTAAAAAGTGTTTGTAAATATGATATAAGCAAATTATTGCTACACACTTTAGTCTGTCACACCCGTGGATTGTAAGTCTAGCTGTAGTTGACTCATATGCTGAAATTGGAACTTTGGGGGGGTTCAAATTCCACCAGAAGTGGATTTGAATGTAACTTTGTTCAAAGTTGAATGATATTAGATAAATAGACTACGATCGTTGTATCGTATTTTACGAGAACGAACAAATTGCCACCAGACTGTCCATAATGGCGTTGTTTCTTGTGACCTCGATGTCATTGTTATTGAAAAGGGCGTACGTCATTATTTTTTCATATAATATGGCATAAGTAGTGATTATTGAAAAGAGCGTAAGAAATTTTTGTACCTCTGTTTATAGTTTC